TTCTTCGTCCCAATTATGCATTGCTAATCTTTCTCCCAACTGATAGTAATGCTGGAGCAGGGTAGCATGATCTAACCAACAGAGTTGGATCCGAATACAAAGATAATCCATCTGTTGGTTTCAACTTGTATCTTCAACTTTACAGAGTTCTTTCGCAGGGTCACCAATTCAGTAAAGATCTTCAATAAAGAGAGGTATACGAGTTTCTAACAAATCATCATTAATTTCTGGTGCTAAATTAATAGGAACCTGGTCTTCTTGCCTATCAAGAAATTTAATAGTACTATCAGTAATACAGAGAGATTCTACAGATGACTCTTTAATATACTTCTGAAGATGAAGGAGGAGTTTTAAAATAGGCACGGTCACTTGAAAAGGTTCTATATTTAAGAGAACAAAGGTTAATTCAGATCATATTTATAAGTTTAAGAGCTTCTTTCCACAGGAGGCTCTACATATCGTTTTAACCGGTTTCCATGCACAGCCTTTTTAAGAACTTTTTTTGTTTTACCAAGCTGGCTCTTTGTTATTCCACTTATTGTTCGTAGTTTATATATACCATTGCCACAAACATCATGCATATAATATGGACCCGTAAATTTTGGTTCTAATTTTGCACTATAAGACGTCAATAAAGAGGATCGTTCTAATAACACCTTATCACTAATTGAATAGCTTTCTATCCGATAGCTTTGGTCATAATGTGCTTTTTGTTTATCTTGAGTCTTCATAATATTATTTTTAGCCTGGAGGCGTGATTCAGTTAATTTTCCTAACAAACTTTCTATCTGTTGCAATAATTGGTCCTGTAACTCTTCCTCAGTAATTGCTTCATGTGGATACGTTGAAATTACAGTTTCTATGGTTAACAAAGCATCCCTGCCATATACAAGAAAAAAAGGATCGTAACAGGTCGTAAAATGCTAATTTGTTCGATAAGCGAAAAGGGCCGCAGGTATGTAATCTTCCCAATCACCATTAAACTACTCTATACACTTAGCTAAAACTTCACACAACATTCGATTAAAATGCTCAACCAATCCATTCGTTTGAGAATGATTAGCTGTTGATTTTGAACAGCGAACGTTTATCTTGGAACATAATGCATCCACAATTTTATTACAAAAATGAGTTCCTTGATCTGAAAACAACTCACGTAGACTCCTGTGACAACAAATAATATCTTCGAACAGAAAAGCTACTACTGTTTTAGTATCAGCACATTTAATAGCACGCGCCTCAGGCCTTGAGTTAAGTATTCGGTCGCTACAACTATATATCAATATTTTTTTGTAGTAACAGGAAGAGGTCCAACGATATCGATACCTATTCGATCAAAAGGTTGTCCAATTCAAATAGGGTGAGGAGTTTCTCTAGTAACAGGGTTTTCCCTTTTTTGATACGAGTCACATGACTTAACATAATCCTAAATATCGTTTCCTATCTGTAGCCAAAAATATCAGGTAATAACTCGCTAGTACGTTGCCTCTTTATTGAAATGCCCAGCTAAGGGATCCGAATATATTGCATATAATATAGGTTCAACTTCTTGTGGCTTCAATATTCGTAATAGTCTTAGAGGGTTCTGGGGGTTCTTCTTGTATAACAATCCTTCCTGGTGAGATAATGACGTGTTTTATGCTTCAAAATTCTAATCTAGGTACTAGTATAACTAGAAGGTACTGTAGACTCGCTAAGGTACCTTAAAAATAAGTAATAGGTATCTAAATCTATAAAGTTTTGTTAATCAAAATTTGGGTAATCCGAAATCGATATCGTAAAGTTCAAATAGGAGTAAAAATAAAAAAATCGATTGTCTTAAATTCGTGAAAGACTATCGGCGTTAAGATGTATTTTTCCATATCTGTGAATAGTAGTAAATCTATACTCCTGCAAGGTCAGGATTCACCTGGCCAGTCGATTCTGGGGTAGCGATGAGAAAATAACGATTTCAACGCAGAATGATTTGTATAAAGTATAAAAGGAACTCCGTGAAGATAAGGTCTAAAATATGAAACAGCCCAAATGACAGCAAGATACTCTTTTTCTGTTACAGAATAATTTTTTTCTGCTAGGATCAAAGAGCGACTTGCATAAGTGGTTACTCTTTCTTTTCCGTTATCATCCAATTGAGAAAGAATAGCGCCTAGTGCTAAATCTGACGTATCTGTAAAAAGGATAAAAGGTTTTAAAAAATTCGGGTATGCTAAAACTGGAGCTGTGATAAGTTTTTCTTTCAATCTCTCAAAAGCTTCTTAATGTATTGATGTCCAATGATATCCAACGTTCTTTCATAGTAACAAATTTAATGGAACTGCGATTCTTGTAAATTCAGGGATAAATCGTCGAAAGTAAGACACTAATCCTAAAAATCCACGTAACTGTCTCAAATTTTAAGGAACAGAAAATTCTTGAACAGCTCGAATCTTTTCTGGATTAGTTGATATTCCTTGCACGCTTACAACACACCCTAAAAATTTTAATTCTTTACGGGTAAAATAACACTTTTGGGGCTTAATTTTCAAACCTACCTGCTTCAATCATAGAAATACTCCTTTCAAGTGATCTAAGTGTTCTTCAAATGTTCTAAAAAAAATGTTAAGATCGTCAAGATATACGACAACAAATCTTCTACTTATGTCACTGAAGATTTGATCTATTAACCTCTAGAACGTAGCCGGGTATTCATAAGTTCAAACGCCATAATGTTGAACTCATAAAGTCCGTATGGTGAAATAAATGCAGTTTTCTCTTTATCATCTTCGAACATCTCGACCTGCCAATATCCACTTGCTAAGTCTAACAACATGAACCAAGATGATCAATTCAAAGTATCCAAAAGTTCATCAACTCAGGGTAATAGATAATTGTCTCTGACAGTTACGGCATTCAATTTTCT